CTCTTTTCTCCTTTTCCCCTGTTCCCCACTTTCTACTTAGCTCTTTAGAAATGCAATTATAACCTTTTACCTTCCCTTCACCAGACACTCTACAGGGCAAGCTTATCTAACTATGTGCTTAAAAGCTCCAGAGTGGAAATTTCTCCCACCAGGAGATTGCCTCGAGAGACAACAGTCAATTTACAACCACGGGGTGTCTCCTACAAAACACTCCCTCACCTGGAGAGTATCTGGAGACAAGGGCCATTTTTACAACTTAATTCTGCCCATGAAGGCACCAGCTCAACCATCTGGTAGATAAGGCACTGAAGCAAGTCACATAGGCCCCTATTTGCCTGCCCTTTCCCATGCATGCCATTCATGCCACATCCTCCTTTAAAAGCCCCAGCTTTCTGCCCCAGAAGTGAAGCCTATACTTCCTACCCTTAAGGCAGGAAGCCTATACTTCTTCCCTTAAGCTAGCTTTGGAATTAAAAGTCACTTTTTTTTTTTTTTTTTTTTTTGAGACAGAGTCTCGCTTCTTCACCCAGGCTGGAGTGCAATGGTGCCATCTTGGCTCGCTGCAACCTCTGCCTCTCCAGTTCAAGCAATTCTCCTGCCTCAGCCTCCCAAAGTAGCTGGGATTACAGGCATGTGCCAGCACACCTGGCTAATATTTGTATATTTAGTAGAGACAGGGTTTCACCATGTTGACCAGGCTGCTCTCAAACTCCTGACTTCAGGTGATCCACCGGCCTTGGCCTCCCAAAGTGCTGGGATTATAGACGTTAGCCACCGTGCCCGGCCAAGTCACTTTTTTTATACCAGACCTCATTCTTGTTATTGGACTCTCCAAGAAGGGAGCACCAAACCTGCAACTCAGGGTTTGTTTTTGTTTTTTGTTTTTTTCCTTTTTATTTTTTAGTTTTTGAGACAGGATCTCACTCTGTCACCTAGGCAGTGGGTGCAATCATGGCTTACGGCAGCCTCAACCTCCTGGTCTCAAGCAATCCTCCCACCTCAGCCTCCCGAATAGCTGGTCTTATGGGATCTTTGAGGTGTCGATTTTCTGGCCAGAAACCTCTGTGGCAGGTGGCACCTTTGCCCGAGTTCTTACCCTGAGTCCAGGAAGAATGGGGAACACAGACTAGTGACGGGTGAACATGCTGAAGATGAGCTTTATTCAGTGTTAAAACAGCTCAGAGAAGACCCACAGTGGGCAGCTCCTCTCTGTAGGCAGGTCGGCCAGTCAAGCGTTCAGCTCTCAGCAGGGAGGAGGCCCTGGAGAGGGTGGCTCCTCTCTGCCGGCAAGTCGTATTGTCATCTCCAGCTATCAGTAGAGGAGAGCTGCTCTCTGCAGCTGGTCCTCCCATAGTCTGCGTCCTCTGCCCTGCTCTGGCCATCCTCTCTCGTGCGCTGGCTGAGCCCGGGCTTTTATGGACCTCAGAGGGGAGGAAGTACATGCCCATTGGTCCATGAGTGGCCCCTGGTGGCCCAGAAGAGGCACCATGAGTCCCCACTCCTGGCGTCGGAACTGGGAGCTGGCCCCCAGCCTTCAGGCTCTCCCTGGCCTGAAGATCAGGCCTTACTGGGGAACCGCAGCCCAGGAATCTGTCTGCCTCCTGATGCCATTCATGGTCCTGGGGCTCATGCCCAAGCCCGCTCCAAGATCTAAGCAGGTTCCAAGAGAGGAGAGAAGTCAGGCAGTAGAAGCAGACAGCCCTGAGTGACAGGGTTGGGGGCCCTTCCCGGGCCCCTGAGACCACAGGCTATATAGATGGCCTGGTCCTGCGCCCAGGAGGGCAGCCACGGCTGCACCCTGTAAGCTCCCACCCCGTCAACTCGGGAGGGGCCGGGATCCCACCTGTCCCCAGCTCCTGCCTACTCTATGGAGCAGGAGGCCCAGGTCTGCAGTCACTGGTCAGGCGGCTGCAGCTGCACCTGGGAGGGCAGAACCTGCCTGCTCCCGCCACCACCACCACCAAGAGCACAGGGAGGCTCAGATCCACAGCTGCAGTTTGGGTGGCTGCTGCCTGCTCCATAAAGCAGGAGGCCTGGGTCTGCAGCTGCAGTTTGGGTGACTGCAGCAGTACCCGGGGAGCTCCCGCCCCAACTCAGAAGGGGCAGGGCTCCCACCGGCTCCATGGAGCATGCAGTCCCAGCTGTGCCTCCTTGCTGTAGCTGGCATAATGGCAGCAGCTGCTGCCATCACTGGGACCACAAGTGCACACCTCCATGCCCAGCTAATTTTTTTATTTGTGGAGACAAGGTTTTGCTATGTTTCTCAGACCAGTCTCAAACTCCTGGGCTCAAGTCATCCTCCTGCCTTGGCCTCCCAAAGTGCTGGCCTCTCAAAGGAGGGCCAAGTAGATTTAGGCCGAGCCACTGAGCCCACCCTAAATCTGTCTTTTTTTGAAAACGGCAAATTTTGCGTTATGTATATTTTACCAGAATAAAAAAGAAATTGTGGAAGGATTTTTTTTTTTAAAGTTAGTGGTTAGAAACAATCTTTTACTAAACTCACAGATTCTGGGGGTCAGAACTTTGGGCAGGGGTCAGTGGGGATGGCTTGTCTCTGTTCCATGATGGCTGAGTCTCAGCTGAGCAAACTCAAAGGCTGGGAGTGAATCAATGTCTGGTAGCTGGATTCATCTAAAGGCACTCTCATTTACAGGTCTGGGTTAACTCAAAAACCAGAACTGTCTACTGGAGTACCACATGTGGTCTGTCCATGTGGTTTGGTTTCCTCACAGCATAGTGGGCTCAGGGTAGCTGATATGATTTGGCTGTGTGTCCCCATCCAAATCTTACCTTGAATTGTAATAATCCCCACGTGTGGTAAGAGGGACCCAGTGGGAGGCAACTGAATCATGGGGGCAGGGTTTTCCTGTGCTTTTCTCATGATAATGAGTCTCATGAGATCTGATGGTTTTATTAACTATTTATTTATATTTAGTATTTTTTTTTTGAGACAGAGTCTTGCTCTGTTGCCTGGGCTGGAGTGCAGTGGTGTGATCTTGGCTCACCTCAACCTCCGCCTCCTGGGTTCAAGCGATTCTCCTGCCTCAGCCTCTCAAGTAGCTGGGACTACAGGCATGCACCACCATGCCTGGCTAATTTTTGTATTTTTAGTAGAGACGGGGTTTCACTATATTGGCCAGGCTGGTCTTGAACTCCTGACCTTGTGATCCACCTGCCTCGGCCTCCCAAAGTGCTGGGATTACAGGTGTGAGCCACTGCACCCAGCCGAGATCTGATGGTTTTATAAAGGGGAGTTCCCCTGCACATGCTGTCTTCTTGCCTGCTGCCATGTAAGACATGCCTTTCTTCTCTTTTGCCTTCTGTAATGGTTGTGAGGCTTCCCCAGCCAACTGAAACTGTGAGTCCGTTAAACCTCTTTTTCTTTATAAATTACCAAGTCTTGGGTATGTCTTTATTAGCAGTGTGAGAACAGACTAATACAGTAGCCAAACTTTATATGGTGGCTCAGGGCTCCAAACATCAGTGTTCTACCAGTGGGCAGTGGCGGGGAAGGGGAGTGTAGAGGTGGAGAAGTGGGTGTGGAGGTGCAGAAGCAAAACCTGCATCCCATTTATGACTTAACCTTGGAACTGTCATTTCTGTCATACTTTATTGGCCAAAACAGACCTACAACTACCCAGATTCAAGTTGGGGGCGGGGGTGTGCTTTGATGCAGGAATATCAAGATCACATTGCAGGTAAACATGTGTGAAGGACTATATTATTGCAGCCATCCTTGAAAAATATTATCTGCCATATGATCTTTCTAAAATGGATTAAAAGCAAAGAAACCACAGAAGAATCATCTTACAGAAACAGAGCAGGGGGAGAAGCCTTAATGAACAAATCTGCCTACACAAACAATGAGCAATTTACTCCTGGGAGGGTCTCTCCTCAGGCTGGGAGATTGCAAAGGACACTAGGCTGAGTAGAGCTGGTGACAGAACTCGTAGTTGTATCAGCTCCTGAGTGTGTGATCTGAGTAGGAAAGTATTTGACTACTGGGGATTGTAACTTCATCTTTAAAACAAAGTGTTGTGAGAACCAAGTAAAATATTGTATATAAAGATAAATGTGTTGCAAAAAGGTCCCCGAATAGAGCCCACAGGTGGACACCCCCCGTTTGACAATGCGACGGGGGAAGATCATGTGTACTGCCAGTTTATCCTTGCCACTGTTTCCCCATAGCAGCCACCTTCCTGTTTCTTTTGCTTGCCTCTCTCAGAGGTAGATGCATTGAGGGTAAATGACCAGTACAGAGACACATAGCCAAGAAAAAGAGATCAAAACCCAGCGTTTTCTGGGATGCTAGTTTGAGATTTTCCATTCTACAGTCGTCCAGCCACTCACAAGTTCTAACTGATGACTGATCTTAGCTGAGAAGCGTGACATAAATACAAGGGAGTCACACTGCCTGGGTTCATATCCCAGCTGCACCACTTACTAGCAGTGTGACCTTGGGAAGGATCGCTGTTTTCCCTGTTTTCCCTGTTTTCCCAGGTGTAAAAGGGAAATAGGACCTCCCACAAAGGGGTAAGTAATCACGTGAATATACCGCACTCAAAACTGCGACCTCAACATAAGCAAGCACTTTGTATTTGCCAATACTAAATCACTACCGCATACTTAGTATATAATTGGTGCTCAATGTTTTAAAGTGAGAAAGTAACATTTACGAATGTAATGGTGGGATCTCCATGAAACGACAAATTCATTTTGGAGAAAGCCTTAAAAAACGCAAACCACAAACCTCTGCCATTTGTCAGCTTGAAGTCTACGGAACTGCAAGCAAAATAAAGACTGGTGGAACTTTGCTTCTGACTGACCCCTACAGTCCCAAATATTTTCTTGGCCTTTACAAAGCCCGCAGGCATCGTCACATGCAGTACTGAAAAGCCCTTTCTCGATACTCAACACAGCCCAGCACAGCCACGTGGATTCCTCGCCCGGCTGCTTCCGCTTCCATTCTGTCCCCTCCCATTTCCCATTCGGCGCCTCAAAATGACGTCAAAACGAGCGCCAACGCTGCCCGAGTAGGAACCCGCGCATGCGCTCTGCCCTGGCAGCCAGCCTGTGCGGAGACCAGAGCGTGGGGCCGCAGCGAGGCTGTGGTCCCGCCCGCTGCGGCCGGGTTTCTAGCCTGCCTGACACGCCCTTGACCTAAGGATCATGAACCGCAGCCGCCAGGTGACGTGCGTGGCCTGGGTCCGCTGCGGCGTGGCCAAAGAGACACCAGACAAGGTGAGGCCTGGTCGCTGGGAGACAAGGGGAGCAGCGTCTTTACGGCACTGCGGGTCCGCCCGGCTAGGGGAACGTGGACCCAGAACATGGGGAGTTGGCTGGTGCGACTGGCTGGGGTGAGGGCGGCTTTGCCCCTATTGTCGCGATTAGAGCTGCGGTTCAGAGAGTCTGGTTTGCCTGAGCCTGGGGAGTCAGGGGCCGCACCTCCTCACTGTTTCCACCCTCAAGCCCAGCCCCATCCCCATCCCCAAATTGGCAAGCACGTGGACTTAGCGGGCCGGAAAGGGGTGAGCTGCTATTTGGGTAATATCCCCAAAGGCTTTTTGACCACACCGCAGCTTCACTAGCACCCAAATGCATTTTCAAGCATAAGTGGGAAGAGAGCATGAAAACTCCACTTTCCACTCCTGTGCTCCGTGTCTGAAGGAATGAGGATGAGTGTAGTGTAGAAAAACAGGTGTGGAGACTAAGATGTCGTGAGGCTGGGGGATGAATTGGGAATTTCTTGCAGTAATCCAGGTGAGATGTTGATGGTGGCAGTGAGGATGAGAGGTAAATGTAACACGTGAAAAACCTACAGGAGTTGAAGACTAAGACTGTAGCAGAGGTGAAGATTACTTAATTCACTCATTGGATACTAAGAGCTTTCTGTAGGCCAGGCATTGTTCAGGGTCCTGGGATAGGCATAAACAAAACAGAAAAAGTCCCTGCGTTTATGGAGTCGACATGTGCACATATAGTATGTCAGTGGGAGTAAGTGCAACCAAACAGTAAAAGGGCTTGATTTGAATGTAATTGACCAAGATAATAATGATGGTGATAGGAATGTGATTGGCTTGGACATGGAGTTAACAGGAATGAGGGATGGGAGTAGTCTCAGTAGTTGTAAATTCCACCTGGGCACAGACTGTGTTTTATTTACCACGGTTTCTCCAGGGTTTGGTTGATGGTAGGCACTCGGTGTATATTTATAGAATAGGGACAGAAAATTATCTCACAAAAAATTGTTGGAGGAAACAGTTATTAAAAAAGAGACATAGCCTTTCAAATACTTGAAGACAGTGATTTCCAAGAGAGTCTACGCATTGAAAATCTCATACTTGGGGAGGTTAAAAAAATACTGATGTTTATGTCCCACTCCCAAGTATTGTATTGTAATTAGCCTGGAGTGTAGCCTAAATTATTTAAGATTCCCTAGGTGATTCTAATGTACAGACAAGTCTGGGAACCAATATTTGAGGAGTTTATAGGAAAAAGAGGTTGAATTTATTTTAGGAAATCCCAGAACGGAAAACTTGGACCAAATAAGAGAAATTGGACAAGCCAGTTGCGGTGTCTCGTGCCCGTAATCCCAGTCATTCAGGAAGCTGAGGTGGGAGGATCGCATGAGCCCAGGAGTTCACAGCTGCAGAGAGCTGTGACCGTGCCACATCTCTTAAAAATTAAAATTAAAGCCAGGCGCGGTGGCTCACGCCTGTAATCCCAGCACTTTGGGAGGCTGAGGCAGGTGGATCACTTGAGGTCAGGAGTTCCAGACCAGCCTGGCCAACATGGTGAAACCCCGTCTCTACTAAAATACAAAAATTAGCCGGGCGTGGTGGTGCGCGCCTGTAATCCCAGCTACTGGGGAGGCTGAGGTGGGAGATTCACTTGAACCCGGGAGGTGGAGGCTGCAGTGAGCCGAGATCACACCACTGCACTCCAGCCTGGGCGACAAAGCAAGACTCCCTCTCAAAAAAAAAAAAAAAAAAAAATTAAAAATAAAAATAAACCGGACAAATAAGCATCTTTTAATCAAGCAACTAATTTCCGGAGCTATCCCACAATGGAATTCTCAAGAGGATTTCCATATTATTAGAGGCATTGTAGTGGAAACTAGGTGATTGATTTATTCATCAGTCATTAAGCATCAATCACCGTTGGCCAGGCACTGAACTACGTGCTGAGGTATACAATGGCAAGCCAGTTTCTGTCTTCAGAGAGCTTACAGTTTAGTTGTAATAGGGGTGTTTTTGTTTCTGTTTGATACAGTCTTGCTCTATAACCCAGGCTGGAGTGCAGTGGTGCATTCATGGCTCACTGCAGCCTCAACCTCCTGGGTTCCAAGTAATCCGACCACCTCAGTCTCTTGAAGTGACTACAGGTGTGTACCACCATGCCTGACTAATTTTTTAATTTTCTGTAGAGATGGGGAATCTCCCAGTGTTCCCCAGGCTGGTCTCAAACTCCTGGGCTCAAGGAATCCTCCCACCTCAGCCTTCCAAAGTGCTGGGATTACAGGCGTGAGCCACTGCACTCAGCCGTGATAGGGGTGTTTTTAAAAGGTACTGAAGCATTGATTAGGTGAGGGAATGTCAGTTGTGAAGAAGAGAGATTGAATTCAGCTTTGAACCTGGTACTATTAGGCTAAAGGATATTCAGGTGGGAAGTCTTGTAGGCAGTTGGAGAAATGGAAAATGGAATACAAGATTAGAAGAAAGTTTGGAGTAATCAGTTCAGAGGTGGTGGTTTCAGTCTTGAGAATGAATGAGCTTTGCAAGGACATGAGCCTGATGAGTGACCATGTGGCAGTGATAATAGGGAAAAGAACAGAGGACTAGGCCAGGTGCAGTGGGTCACGCCTGTAATCCCAGCACTTTGGAAGGCCGAGGCGGGTGGATCACGAGGTGAGGGGTTCGAGACCAGCCTGACCAACATGGTGAGACCCCTGTCTCTACTAAAAACACAAAAATTATCCGGGCATGGTGGCACGTGCCTGTAATCCCAGCTACTCAGGAGGCTGAGGCAGGAGAATCGCTTGAACCTGGGAGGTGGAGGTTGCAGTGAGCCGAGATAGCGCCATTGCACTCCAGCCTGGGTGACACAGTGACACTCTGTCTCAAAAAAACCCAGAAAACAGAGGACTAATTTAAGGGTGGTTTGTTAAGGAATGCCCCCAGGGAAGAGAGGGAGGTGCCCTAGACAGAGTCAGAGATAGTTGGAAGAAAACCAGAGGAGTACCACAGAGCCACTTTACCAAAACCAGTCTTTGGGGTTTTAAGACTGAGAGGTAGAGTAGAATGAGCATGAATTTTGAAGTTTCAGGTGGGGAGAGATCTTAATTGTAAGGATCTATGAAATCTATATTTTTTTAATGTAGAGTCTGGATGTTTGATTCTTATCTTGATGACATTGCTTGGCGTTACATTTTACATGTGTTTGCAAACTACTTTTTAATTCAAAGAATTCTGATGATTTCCTTACACATATTGTAATGAAATCTTTGCTCTCTTACAGGTAGAGCTGAGTAAAGAAGAAGTAAAACGTCTCATTGCTGAGGCAAAGGAGAAATTGCAGTTAAGTTTAGGACCAGATGAAATCTGCATCTTAAATGATGACCAGGTGTGGTCTTGTTATTGGAAGATGCCATTTGGGTGATTCTCTTTTTCTTTCTGTGCTCATAGAGAAGAAGGTGGTGGCAGTGATGAAGAGGAGACAGGCAGTCCTTCAGAAGATGGCATGCAGAGTGCACGCACCCAGGCACGCCCAAGAGAGCCCCTGGAGGATGGTGACCCAGAGGATGACAGGACGCTCGATGAGGATGAGCTGGCTGAGTACGACTTAGATAAATATGATGAGGAAGATGACCCAGGTTAGAGTGTATCCACTTCTACTGGTTTGTAATTATAAGCTTAATATGTTGGATCATGTTTGTGGTGTTCCAAAGCTTTACTCTTAGATTTTATTATTCTTGATATCAGTAAGATAATCTGGTTGAAGACTTGGGCAGACAGCATGATTCCTAAACTAGTTTAGAAGATAAACTTTAACTCACTAATGTAAGATACAAATCTAGGATCTAAAAAAAAAAGTACGGTGTATTTTATTGCATATATCAGGTTTAATCATTTGTAACCCACTTGTGAGTTTTTGTATGTAGTTACAATGCTATGGTGTGCTTGAACTTATATCCATATACCTTTTCCTCAACTGCAGTCGGTTTTCTCAGAATACAGTAGTGCCCCCTTATCCACGGTTTTGCTTTCTTTGGTTTCAGTTAGCCACAGTCAACTGCAGTCTGAAAATAGGTGAGTAAAGTACAGTTTTTTGAGAGAGATGACTTTCATATAACTTTTATTACAGTATATTATTATAATTATTTGATTCCTAGGTACGTATAGGAAAAACAATATATATAAGGTTTGTGTACTATCTGCGGTTTTAGACCACCACTAAGCGTCTTGGAATGTATCCCCTGTGGATAAGGGGGGACTACTGTGTGCATTTTGAGATGCTGTTGTTGGAGATAATTAGAAAAGGAGACCAGGTGCGGTGACTCACCCCTGTAATCTCGGCACTTTGGGAGGCCAAGACGGGTGGATCACTTGAGGTCAGGAGTTCAAGACCAGCCTGGCCAACGTGGCGAAACCCCGTCTCTACTAAAAATACAAAAATTAGCCAGGCATGGTGGCAGGCCCCTGTAATCCCAGCTACTCAGGAGGCTGAGGCAGGAGAATCGCTTGAACCTGGGAGGCGGAGGCTGCAGTGAGCCAAGATCGCACCACTGCGCTCCAGCCTGGGTAACACAGTGAGACTCCATCTCAAAAAGCAAAAGAAAATCATGGGTGGGAAGAGAAAAAGGAAATAGAGCAGAAGACAGATTAGAATTAGAAGTTTGTATAGAAAGCCTTGCGGGGGAATAAAGTGAGCTGAGATGACAACTATGTATATTGCTTTTCTGAGGGAAGTAAGTATAAAGATAAATGGAAAACAGTCTGACAAAAGCTGGGTAAGCTCGCTTTGTTTCTTTTGGAATGTGCTACCCTAAGTGGTTTGAGAAATAGGCATGTGGCACACTGAGCAGGTTAAATAAGTTATTTATTTAACTTGTAAATCTCAGTCTGCATATTTGGGAGCTGAAGGGACTCCTGGAATCCTGATAGCTAGAATCAGCTACTTCCAAGTTATAAAATCAAAATATAGATGATCTGAAACAAAAATTAACTCTTAATACAAATGTTATCTGTGACAAAGTAAAATCACAACTACCTGTTAAATCGCAACTACCTGTTAAATTAGTGGTTAAAATACTACATAAGAAAGTCACAGCAGAGCTGAGCGTGGTGGCTCATGTCTGTAATCCCAGCTACTTGGGAGGCTAAGGCAGCAGGATTGCTCAAGCCCAGGAGTTCAAGGCTGCAGTGAACTAAGATCACACTGCACTCCATCCTGGACGACAGCGAGACACCATGTCTAAATAATTTAAAAAGTTTTAAAGAGTCTTACAGCAATTATAATCACAATTAAAAATATCCGTGTTAGAGTATCATTGAAATGCTGAGTAAAATAATATACTTTTTGTGTGTATGAGACAGAATCTTGCTCTGTTGCCCAGGCTAGAGTGCTGTGGCGTGATCTCGGCTCACTGCAGCCTCCCAATCCCTAGTTCAAGCGATTCTCCTGCCTCAGCCTCCTGAGTGCTGAGATTACAGGCACACGCCACCACACCCAACTAATTTTTGTATTTTTAGTAGAGACGGGTTTCACCATGTTGGCCAGGATGGTCTCGATCTCCTGACCTCACGATCTGCCCGCCTTGGCCTGAAAAACTCCAGAGATGGGGAGAGGAAGGGTCGAAAATGACATTGAGGAAATAGTGTTAATTGTTAAAGCAAGGTAATACAAGGTTCATGATGCCCTCTCTACTAATGTTCATTTTTCAAAATTTCTATAATAGAACATTTTAAAAAAATCAGACACATACGGGTTGATGGTGAACACTTCCAGATACCCAATCTGTGGGGTATCTGGAAGAGCAGTGTGGTTGGAGTGCGTGCAGAATAGGACATGAGACATGGTCTGTGTTGGGCACAGGAAGATCAGTAAACAACGGACATGCAATGAGAAATGAGGAAGTAGGTTCTGGATGGAGATGGGATTGACCAAAGGCGGGGCATGTTTGAGCCCTGTAGATAACATTGTGGAGGTAGAACTGAGCCAAGTAAGAGGAAAATTTAGTGGAATGTGACAAACTATAGGAAGCCTTTAGTGCCAGAGCAGTGTTGAGCTTGACCTGATGTGTGTGATGGTAACAGCCTGGAAAAAGACCCAAAGAAGGGGAAATGCTTGGCAGGTTGATCTGCATGAGTGAAGCACAGAGAAGGTGGATGGGGAGTTGCTGGGAAGTCTGGGAAAAAGACTTACTGGGTCCCAGTAAACTTTAGGATACCAGGCTTAGCAGTCTGTGTGTTCTCAGTGCGGGAGGAAATCATTAAAGGTTTTTGAGCATGGAACACATGATAATTGAACATGCACTTTAGGAAGTTAACTCTGGCAGCAGTGGAGAACAGATTGGGAGATAGGGTGAATCTCTTAGAGGAGCAGAAACTTAAGATAAATTAGGCCAGAAGCAATGAGGGCCTGGCTTGGGGCACTAGGAATGAGGAGGAGAGGACATGGAAGAAAGGATTGCAGAGGTAGCTGGGAGTTTTGCAGCATCCTTCCAGAATTGATATCTCTAGTTTCTGTCTTATTATTGGTGGTGTACCTCTTTTCCTTCAGACAAGAAGTAACCCTGATTTCTTCACTCCATCTGAATTGAATTGAATTGTCATTTATCCATTTTTCCATCTAGATGTTCATTCCTCCTTTTTCCTTGTTCCCTTGGCTAGCTGTCCTATGGATTACTATTAACTTCATTTTTCATTATCCACAGTACTTAGAAAGGAATCATTACCTCCATTTACCGGTGGCACACAGCTGGTTAAAGATGGTGCTGAGTTTTGACCACTCTCTGGCTCTAAAGCCTTCATTCTTTTCACTGCATCTTTTCTGTAGATACAGTCCAGTAGAGGATAGTTTTTTCCACTGGACTCTAGGTTATGGGCTCCAACCTTGTTAGGGACAGAGTGCCATAGATATACAGAGAAACAAAGAGCTAACCCAGCCTGGAGAGATGGCATTCAGAATCACTCTTTCTCATGCAGCAGAAATTGCTTTCTCTGTTGCTTATCAGATGTTTAAGACCTATCAGTCCTGCCTCCTCAGAGTGGCTTCCTCTAACAGTTCAGTGTATCTTCCTTTCCTGAGTTATCCTTTGTTACTATTGTCGATGTGCCATAAAAGAACAATTTCATTTTCAAGTAAGTTTAGTGGAAAAAGCATACAGTATTTCATTTTTCATATGCTTATAAGGCATATTAGCATATCAGAACATGTGCAGTAGAGTAACCTGGTTAATTTTTTGAAACTAGTCATTTCTCAATTTTATTTGACCAGGCAACCCTTATTTATTGTGTTGATTTCAGTGTTTTAGGGTCATTTTATTTGCAGGTCCTCAAGGCTGCCTCTCTGTAGCACCTTCAGTCATGAATGCAGGGAGCTAGTAGAGAATCTCAAGAGAGTTCTCATATTTTCTAAAAGGGTCTAATTCCCTAATACAATTCTTTCATTGGAAGATCCTGAATTCCAAGACTGTCTGAAATCCATTCCAAAAGTCAAATACAAATGGCTTTTAAATTCCTGCTGCTTCTTATGTAGTTTCCGTTCCCAACTCTAGATGATCCAGAGTTAGTTATAAAATAGATGGTTGCATGTAAGTCCAAGAATGGATGTCACAGAAAAAATGTTTTTGTCAAGATGACGATTTTATTATTTTAGTTTGTCAATTTTTCTTACAGATGCTGAGACTCTTGGTGAATCTCTCTTGGGTCTTACGGTCTACGGGAGTAATGATCAAGATCCTTACGTTACTCTGAAAGATACAGTAAATATTTACATCGTTTTTCTAACTATGCTCTTAAGTGTTTGAAAAACCTTACTGGCTCTGTGCTTCTAGCCAATGACATGTTTTTCCTTTTACTTAGGAACAATATGAACGTGAAGATTTCTTGATTAAGCCCAGTGATAATCTCATAGTTTGTGGCCGAGCTGAACAGGACCAGTGCAATTTAGAGGTGCATGGTAAGTGACAAATTCCTAACTGAAAGATTTTCTAAGTGATGGTAAAATAATAAGTGGATTAGTTACTATTTCATTTTTAGGTGCCAAATCCTACTGTATCTTGCTTAAGTTGGTTACATAGTTAACTTTTACACAGGTGGCCAATTTCTTGGTTATTGTTCTGGACATGTGTAGTCCAGTACATCACTTTGGTATCTGAATTTTCTGTGGAAATAAGTCCCCTGGAAATTTTTCATAGGGGTGTCTTTTTTTGTTTTTATATATAAATAGGGTCTCACTGTGTTGCCCAGGCTGTCCTGAACTGGGCTTAAGCAATCCTGCTTTGACCTCCCAAAGTGCTAGGTGCTGTATTACAGGTGTGAGTCACCACACCTGGCCTCATAGAGGTTTTTAATCTTTTATCCAAATAGGATTGCCTGTTTTTCACTCATCTCGTACTCCCACTATAAAAAACCTGGAAGTAAAACTGTATATGAAAATACAAGGCTAGGTGCGGTGCCTCACACTTGTAATCCCAGCACTTTGGGAGGCTAAGGCGGGAGGATCGCTTGAGCCCATGAGTTCTAGGCTACAGTGAGCTATGATTCTGTGTTTGCGCCACTGTACTCCAGCCTGGGTGACAAAGAAAGACCCCATCGCTTAGGGAGATAAAAATGCATAATCCTATTCCCCTGAGTTAATAACTTGCCACCTTGGATTTTTACTCCTAATTTATTTTCTGGCTATTTTTTCTTTATGTGGATTATACTGGATAGACAGGTTTTTCTCATGTTTTTTAAATAGTTATTTCAGATATTTCCCCTTTGCAAAACATTTTATTTTCTTCATAATAATTCAACACAAAGGGCCACATTTCTTTTTTGGAACCAAAACATCTTGATCACCTTTCCCACTTTAAGGAATATTTGTACCAAAGCCAGAAGCCAAAGCTTTGCAGTAATCAGAAGTAGGTATGAAAATAGGAATTTTCAAATTATATTTTTAAATGTTGCTGTTTTTGATTTAATATTAATTGAATGGCTTGCCTCACTTTGGTATTTTTAATGTAAAATCTGTTTTTTATATGCTAAAAGTAGACTTCCACAATGTCTGGAGCACTCTGACTACAGATTCTCCCTTTTGTTTTTCATGCCCCTTCCACTGTGCTCATTCATATCTTCAGACAAGTCCATCCTTGCCTGATACTGTCCTCCCCCAGCAGTCTTCAGATCGTCTTGAAACTTTGAAGATTCAAAGAGATTATGAGGCTGATAAGTCCTTTTGTTACAGGAAACACAGTTGCACAGCTTGAAAAAATAAAACCCTTAGGCTTAATGTTTATCGGCATCTTCTAGGTTGCTTCATCACAGCGCCCATTGTTTAGCTTGGATTTCTATAACTCTTCAGAATCATTAAGGCTGTCCGTGGGAAGCCTGTAGATTAGGCCCATTTTATCCCATGGCTCATTGTGATCTATTTATGCATAGCAGGCAATTTAATGTGAAGTTATTCTTTCTAACTCTTGATATCTTTGAACTTTTACATATTTCAAATGGAAACCATTTGTTTACTTTGCTTTTAAGACCAATTCTAATTTCAAAAAATTGAGACCCTATTACAGTTTTTTTGGTCATCACTGATTTTTTTATGCATTCCTGAGAACTTATAGTCATTCCTTTGAACTCAGGATCAAAGAGGAGCTGAGAAAGAAGTTAAAGCTGCTGTATTTCCATTTCCTTCTAAGTTAGGTTATTATAGATATACTTTATTATTTGGGTTTGGAAGGAATTTCCAAATTCCCAGTATGTCTGTATAAGAATAACTTCAAATTTATATTCTAAACCTGATCCGAATATTGATTCCACGTGGTTAAGAGTATGTTTTAAAGTATTATTACCAATTTTATGTAAAATGTAAGCTGAGTATATCAAACATGGTTGAGGTTTTTGTAGGATCACAGTCTAATGATTTTGAACGTGAATTCTCATCATAGGGATATGATAGAACATTACACAAATCTGCTAATCCCAGGATCAATTCCAGAAGCAGCGATCTGAGGAATTAAAAATAAAATCCTTAACTTATTATATATTTACCTCTTTCTTAATAAAAAGCATATGGGGAGGGGTTCTGATTAGTGGATTCTGTTTTATCAGTGTTTCAAATTTTAAAAAGACTTCTTAGTCGTTGATTTTACAGTGTTTTTGCTGCTTAACATTACAGCTGTGAATGTTAAGGAGCTGTTAGTTGCCATATTCCAAAAGGATGTTCTCGGGAGCTTTGTTTCTATTGTTCATCTTCATAAACCTTTTTTAAAAATATTAAAGAAGAATAATTTTTGATAAACATTTACATTTCCAAATACGAGTTATTTCTCTCCCGTGCTATTTTTTGTTTGTTCTTTTTGGCTTATAAGCAGCTAGACCATTAAAAGATAAAATAAGTACTTCTTGTGGAGACCTTATGAACATTTGTTTTCTGTGAATGACCTAGAAGACAGGACCATTTATCTGACAAGGATGCAGGTGGAGTATCAGATGTCAGTGTTCATTTTCTCCTGTGGGGTATGCCACAAGATGGGATTGTATTAGACAAGCAGAATTTTTGCCTAGTCATGATATTGGAATCTTTTTTTTTTTTTGAGATGGAGTCTCTCTCTGTTGCCCAGGCTGGAGTGCAGTGGTGCGATCTCAGCTCACTGCAACCTCCACCTCCTGGGTTCAAACTATTCTCCTGCCTCAGCCTCCCTAGTAGCTGGGACTACAGGTGCGCACCACCACACCCAGCTAATTTTTGTATTTTCAGTAGACTTAAATTTTTGCTAATTTTGCTAATTTTTGCTCATTTTGTATTTTAAGTAGAGACGGGGTTTCATCATGTTGGCCAAGCTGGTCTTGAACTCCTGACCTCAAGTGATCTGCCCACCTTGGCCTCCCAAAGTATTGGGATTACAGGCGTGAGCCACCGTGCCCAGCCTGGAATCTCTTCATAATATCAGATGTCTCACTTTAAAGCACATGGCTCACATACATTTAATAGAATTTGGTTTTTTGAGTGGGATGTGATTTTTGATAACTTGTTCTGATGCATTAAAGTCTCTTTTCCCAATCTTTTCAGTTTATAATCAAGAAGAAGACTCTTTTTATGTACACCATGATATACTCTTGTCTGCATATCCTCTGAGTGTGGAATGGCTGAATTTTGATCCTAGCCCAGATGATTCTACCGGTAATTAGAAAACTTAAGGTTGTTCAGTGATTTCCAGTCTTATGTATTTTCTCCTAGCTCCATAAATTATGTATTCTCTTGAATGTTTTCAGAATTGTTGCTGATATTTTCTGAAGTTACTGTTGTTTTATGAAGTTAGAGTTCTTAACACACCATCACTTTATTGTTTGGGGTCCATAAATCCCCAGACTTTAGACAGGTAAGGAGGTAGCTGCTCTACTACAGGCTGAAGGACGGGGCCTGAAGCCTTTTGGACTGTAGAACCGTAAAGGTCCCATACAGACTCTGTATAAATGGCCTGATGTGTGAGATGTTACCAGCTAGATTTCAGTGGCATAACCTGTTTTAGAAAACATAAGGTAAAACCGAAATGAAGAGGCTTGTCACAAGTAATTAGGTTCTCATGTTAGTCTTTGTAACCACATCTGCACACTATTAGTTGCCCCTGTCCGTACTTTTTAATAAAGGTAAACACTGATTATACTCTTACATCTTGTTTGCAAACCTTGTTCACGATTCATGATCTGATCTGATCTGATCTTCATCCCCGCAGCACCCCATGAAGGAGGAAGGGAGGAGGGTTATTCTCATTATGTAAGTGAAAACACTGGGGCCAAGAGATTGAGCCTTTCTTACTCAAATTGTGGCCCAAAGACCAGCAGCAGCACAGCATGGTTATCACCTGTGAACTAGTTAGAACTGCCCACCCAGAACCACCTGAAATACAATCTGTATTTGTAATATTCAGATGCCGCATATGCATATAAGTTTGAGAAGCACTGCTCTAAAGCATTTTTCAGTTGATCTACAGTGTAATGTATTTGATTAGAAGTTGTGTATGTCTTTTTTTGTGTAATCATACATGCATTGTTTCCTCCCATAGGAAATTACATTGCTGTAGGAAACATGACCCCTGTTATTGAAGTGTGGGACCTTGATATAGTGGACTCTTTAGAGCCAGTCTTCACACTCGGAAGTAAACTTTCAAAAAAGAAGAAAAAGAAAGGAAAGAAGGTAAAGAAGTTAATAAATACTTAAACTCTAATGTCAGAGATAAGTTTACTCGGGAGTAGGGGTGAAGGGTAAGAACATACACTTTTTCAATCAAGTATTCTTGGTGAGATGGGATAGGTAGTTATGAAATTATTGTAATTTTTAGTTTTGAAAAGCCCATTCAAAGAAAACTTATTTCTAATTGCATAAAACCTCCATTGTCATGTTGTTCTTTCTTACAGAAAACTAGTTCAAAGCTAGTATATTAATACGAATAGCTACCATAGATGAAGGACTCTCGGATTATGAGCCTCCTTCAAATACAGTAGCTATTTATACAGATATACTAATCTTTTAAAAAAAAATCTGTTATTGTGTTGAATTCTAATTATCCATGTATTAACTCCTGCAACTTTTAAAACTGTTAGGTTTTATGAGGGTTGGGAGCCATAATGATATTTGTATAATTACAGCACCTAGATTAAGAACTGCTAGGCTGGGCCATGCACATGGCTCACACCTGTAATCCCAGCACTTTAGGAGGCTGAGGTGGGTGGATCACCTGAGGTCAGGAGTTTGAGACCAGCCTGGCCAACATGGTGAAACTGTCTCTACTAAAAATACAAAAATTAGCT